TTTTAAATTTAAAAGTCTTTTTTGCTGACCAAAAATGGTATGGAATTCAATTCTATAGAATAACAGAATGAAATAGAATGGATTATGCTTTATTTATACAGGTAACGACACTATAAATAGTATAAACTGTCCTCCATATTCTTCGTTTTCACTATACGTAACAGCGGCCATCTTGGATGAACTTCAACAAAGGATTTCTCATTAGTATCTATTGTTCATTCCTCCAACATGGCTGCCGGTCTTTTATCTTTTGAATCTCCTGGGAATGGTTGAAAACGAGCAATATGACCCTCAGCTATGATATCATAAAGCCGTTGCCATAACAACTGTAGCCTCCGTCGCCTGCTCTTAGATTATTTGCCTGTATGGGTTCTCTTGTGTCGCTCGGGAGAAATTTTGATTGTTTCCCGTTATTCATCATCATCGCGTCAGTTTCAGCCGACATCMATGTCATTAGAAACAGTCCTTGCTATGGATATGCGTAAATCCACAAAGAATACCCATTCTACTATCCGACCGTGCATTTTCTATTAGAGCGAATTTCGTATGACTGTGCAAAAGCACGGATCACAACACGGACACGGCATGGTCACGGAACCTCGCCTTCTAGGATTCCAAATGAAAGTAAAGATTTTCCAATGTATCACGGCTACGGCACGGTACGGACACAGCACGAACGTACCGTTTTTTTTTGCACAGTCATACGAAATTCGCTCTATCTCTGTTCCCAACATCTATCCTTTCAAATCCTGCCATTATCTCCACACTTGTATACGACTACCATTGCATTCCAGTACCAACACCCTTCCATACGGTGTTACCGCTATATGGATTGGACCAAGCATTTTACCAAGRTCAGAACCACGACTCCCAAACGATGTAATGAAATGACCTTCTATAGAAAAAGCTTGAATGCGATCGTTACCTGCATCACAGACAATAATCATGTTCTTGTTAAACGACACKAGTCCAGCMACGCAGTCGAGCTGCCCATTATGTTTACCATTCTTGCCAAAATTGTGCAAAATGTTTCCATTCTTGTCAAAAACTCGAATGAGGTTGTCATCCACAAAGGGCACGTAATATTTCCCGTCATTGTAAGCGAGGAAAGTAGGGGGGTTGCCTTTAATGCCGTCCACGTCGATATCTTGTACGAGATGTCCTGTTCGTTTGTCGAATAGTTTTATTTGTCTTTTGACCTCGCCGTCTTCCAAGCATGCAATATGTTGTTCTGTGGTACACATTCCAAGCATTTCAGCTCCTTTTTTTCGGTAGATCGTCTTKAGGTATGTACCTATGTTAAAGAAACAATGTTAGAGTTACATTTCGTGATTTGCAGTAAAATAGTGGTATATGCAGGGTAAAGCAACAAGTTGGCATGAAATAGAGGGATGACAAACAGTCTCTAATTCCATAGTTTCTTGTCCGAGTTTATCTGTGCCGTTATGTCCGTTGTTTCACAGGTTGAGATATATAAACGCTTGCAAAGGCCAATTGGGAACTTTAGATCCAACAACTGTCGGTGCTTATCTATTAATTTGGTTGTAGTGGCACGGACATCCTTTGTTGCGTTAAGAATTCCCTAATTTTAGTCTGTGGATAATGCGGAGAACATCCTACGCATGCATGGGCAGGCTAAGATCAGATAGAATGACGCGCTACATGGAATTGAACCCAGGCCTGAAGGCCCTAAGGTCGAATCACTTATACCACCCTCTACAGCTATACTTCTCACCTTTGATGTCAAATTCTTGAATTCGTCCGTCATCACCAGGATTGTCACTAACTATGATTCGGTCTTCATGAAAGACCACACCCCACGGCCTGCTCAAGCCWACATCGTCTTCCTCTCCGCCAAACTCTCTTAAAAACTTCCAYTCAGAACTAAACAACACAATACGATCGTTCCCAGTGTCTGCAACGGCAACTTCACCATCTTTGCTTAAGGCAATGGAGCAAGGATTATGGAGCTTCATTGGTACGTCTTTTCCAAACATTCGAACAGGTTTAAACTTTGCTTTGACATCGATGGTTGTGGCGATCTGGGGGGAGTTACTTATCTCTTTTCCTCCGATGGACACGAAGATCCTGTACGGCGAGGGTTCAGCGCCCTGTAAGTCACAGTGAATGTTCCTTTTCGAGATAATTTAACTTCTTTTTCGACGTTTTGGTCGTCGGAATCTTGGATTTGGACCTCGAGTAACCCTTCTGCCGTGTCACACACTTTTAATTCCGAATTTCGTGTCACGATATCAAAGGAATTGAGATACCCGCACCTTACATCTTGTAATGATTCTATGGTACATCGTGAYTGATCTGTCGCGCATTCCTGGATATTTCCTGGATTTTTCATACATTCAGTGGTCTGAAGGTTGGGCACATAATGCAGGGATACACTCTTTTTAACAGCTTTGTTGGAKAGGATGGCTTTTTCAGACAACATCTTACACGTATCTCTAAGGTATGGATAAGTGTCTAAGACCTTGAGACAGACCGCTGACCCTTCTATTTCTTGGCATTGATGACGATATTCAGCGACCTTTAAATAAAAATATCGGCAAATTACAYAACCAACCTCTATTGCAAACACTACATTTTACATGCAGTACCCAGCGTCATTTTGAAGGATACCTGTGCCTTTATCTTGAAGCAATGTTGAAGCGGCAATGGTGGATTCCCAATGAATAAGCGTTGTTGGTGCGAAAAAAGTAACTTTAACCTTATTCCGCTTCAATTTTAGGACAAAACTAACTTTCAAGATATTCTAGCGCTGGAAACTTTAAAAGGGAGTATTTTAATAAAAAATCCTTGCATCAGCATAAATATCGATGACCTACCCTGTCACTTTTACCCTTTGAACGATTTTGAATGTTGTTTTCCAATGAATATCTTCATGAATTGAACATTAAAGATTACCCTATGTACATACGTTCCCCTAAGGTGAAGATTTCGGCCAGGAAACGACGTTTAATTAAAGATTAACATTAAAAAAAATGTAAAATGTAAAATGAAATCAGTATATTAGTAAAACATCCCAAATAAAAAACTCCTAATAAGAATAAAAAAATAAAAACTCCTAATAAGAATAACCCAGTGGGACCCCTTGAAATAACCTGTCGCTATTATTGGCTCCAGTGTTTTGTTCTGTATTACCTGTTTGATGTGGATATTAATTTCATTCTGTTCATATTCATTATTCGCGATCTCTTTTTGCAACATCTCGTCGAGAATGATCATCATCGTCATTTCGTGATCCTGCAGCGCCTTGACCTGCGCGTTAATAAAATCATGGACCTTYTTCTTAGCTGMTAGWATTTCTTCCTCAAGCCTAGTAACATTGTCATTAGAAGTYGTCTTGTCTTGTAYGTAGTTTTCTACAAGTGGCTTGGCACGATTCATGTCGCGTTTAATGTTTTTCTTGATAGCCAATGCTGCTTCCTCGAYGCTTGCCTTCTCGTGGGWGYTATGGTCAGTGTCGGCGCATATTTGGCAGATGCTTTTGTTRCAAACTTGGCAGTAGAATTCGAGTTTRCTCTTMTCGTGTTGCTTCTCCTTACAGTGAACYTGGCTACTCATATARGTGTTCAGATGWTCTTGATTGAAATCGTCTAATAGTGTAGGATGGTGGTCTTCTAGGACTTTCTTTAGAGTTTTGTGTGCGGAGAGGCACTCTTTACATATCATCCCTTTACATTGAACACAGAATGAAACCAACGTCAATCGCTTGGAGCAACCAACACATTTTGGAGTCAACCTTTGGTCCTGCTTGSTTGGTTTCAGTTTCAAAGCTTGAAAAAGTTTCAGRAGAGGCTCAAAGCCGAATAAAGGCGGAATATCGGACATATCTTGTTGGTAGGWTTCGATCGGGATCGCGCATACTGGGCATGCTAAAGTCGATCGCTGTCTTGTGCATTCTTCGCTCCAGTTTACAAGGCACTTTGARCAAAAACTATGATGACATTTTAACGTTTTTGGCCGAGTGTATATGTCGTTACAAAACGGACAAGTGAGCTCTTTTGTGAGATCACAAGCAAACGTGTTCCCAAAAGCTTTCGTTTCTGCCATTGTAATAGCGTCACGAATTTCGTTTATACTCTGAAAGTCAGAATGTAAACGTTCAAGACCCTGCTGTATTCTGAATAGCKGTTTCTATAGCAACACTGAAAACATCTTTATTTACTTTTGCCAACTTTCTCGACATGAATAACATTCACATTTTTTTTTTAAATAATATATATTTAATCAATTGGTTAACGAATTTATCAACAACACAAAATATTGTATCAATTTCAGATATTTCGAGCTGAAACCAACTAATTTTCCCAATTTGTGCCAAAGAAACAAATACGGCACCTGCTCTGAATTTTAACAAAAAAAAACATGCTTAACATACAGTCCCTATTCATTTGAATTTGACAGCCGTATTTATTATTAAAGATTATATTTTTGTTTGTTAGCTATATGAAATATCTTCATCAAATCATGATATTTTGACGTTTTTTTATTTAAGTGTAATAAAATTCAAGTACCACAATGTCATGTATACATATACCACACTGAGTGACACTGAATCTAAAATCGTTATTTTTAGTTCGGAAGGATTCACGATCAGCASGAGTGCGATAGCCATAGAATATACTAGTAATTAACACTATATACACCTTAAAATATATCCTTTGAAACGTTTTCCAAACAAGCAAAATAAAAATTGAAAAAAGCTGATTTTGCTGAATATTTCAGCATGACTTATTATCAAGATATTTAGTGCATGGATTCTGTTTTTCAGTGTCAATGTTTCTAACATTAAGGAAATAACTCATGAACGAGAGAAGTCAAGGAGAATGTACGAGACGAAGGCGAGTGCGGTAGATGAGGAAATGCTCCAAAAAGAGGACACTTGCTTTTACATATCCCAATATTTTTTTTTTTCGTATGATGGTCAAGCAGGGCTGTACAGTCATATAAATTTCTTTCACTCTAGTTACGATTCTTCAAGAAAACTTGTGACGCAAAATAATCGGCTAACTCGAATCACATTATAAATACATGCATTTTACAACAGCTGTTATATACAAACTATTCTATCTACCCCATCTTTTGTCGCCAATTTGTCCATAACTGCTGGAAGGTAGGGCAGCATCGGCGCTATTCACGCGGTCACTTTCACCTAACCTTCTTCTTAACCTGGCAATTTCTTCGAAGTACCTAGTTTAAAAACATACATATATTCATCTACTTGCTAGCACCCCCACCCCCAAAGGCTTTCATCACTACCTCCCCCAAAGGCAGCGATAACCAACATAATTAAATATCAGTCATACTGGTGAACCATACGATTACTACTGACCAGCACCAAACCACTGACACAATCTATAAACACTTCTACGTACACAAGGCACACATGGCYGCCCTATGACGTCACAGGCTATGACGTCATGTTAGACGAAGTGCATCATGGTATTGATAAAAGTGTCAAGATKGCAGGTGACTATGAAAACTAAAGATGAGGACGTTTCAAATTACTGTCATTGCTAAAGTTACCTYTTGAGGTGTGTGTCGATRTATTCTTGCAAACTAACAACTTGCTCTTCAGCAACAATGCATCTTGTCATGAGAGAAGCTCTCTCGTTCTCTAAATCTTGCTATATAA